CACACAATTAAGGCCAGAAAAGATGTCCAAGTTCATCAAGTCCAACTATTAACCTAGCACTGTGGCTTTTTTCAGTCTCTTGATCCCTTCTAATATGAAGAGACGACAGCATTGCCTGTAAGAGTCTACTGCCACCAGGACCCCAGTGTTTTGGATGAGGTGGTGTCCTGTGGGCATCCCACATCCCTGTGGCTTTGTGTGTGTCATTCCTTGCCTGCTCGTCCAAACGTGGGAGAAAATCCTCTTGGTGGTGCCTGCAGAGTTGTCTGTGAAAGGCCAGCCATGGAAGAGCTGGTGAGTTGTTTTTCTGCCCAAAGCAAAGGAAGTGCTCCTGGTGGGATAATCAATCTTCACAAGAGCTCCCCCAGCCGAAGATGAACGCCCTGACTTTATGGAGTGTGGAGCAGCTCCCCTGCAATGCCAGGAGTGCTCCTCCCAGGCAGGAGCTCACCTGTGGGATGGGGAGAGAGAGTGAGTGTGTGTTTTAAGGTCATAAAAGGCTCCGTGGAGCAAGGCTCTGGCTGTTACACGTGCTGACAGCAGAGCTCCCGGCACTTCAGCTTCCTTGGCGTAAAATCACAGCGGCGGATAAATCCTGGAGAAATAAAACCAACCCAATCGAATTAGCCCAGAACCGTGTGCAGGAGGTGGGAAATGTTTTCACAGGGTTTCATCCTCTCTTGCGGGTACTGAATCACTGAGGGTAATTTCTCAGCTCGGTGCAGTTCAAACCAGCCAGGGCTCCTTGCTGGTTAATCCTGATGAGGGAGAGAGGCCCCTCTGTTGGTCTGACAGTACCACACTGCTCTTGTGCTCCCCAAAATGGTAAGGAAAGGCACTGGCAGTGGGGTTTTGGGGTGCTCTTTTCCTTCCTCTTTGGACTTTCTGGTGCAGTGTTTTGGGTTGGAGGGAAGGATGCTCCCTAATGTCAGCCAGCAATGGTACCCCAACCATCCCACCCTTGCTGGCTGCCCCAGGGTGGGAGCCATCGCCCAGGCTGGGATTCCTCCGGAGGCTGGGAAGTAGCTGCCAGGCTGGATCTGGGATGGGGGAAGGGAAAGACTTGGTTTCTTTCAGTATCTGAGGGTGGATTAAGTGGAGCGTTCCTTGTTAGCTAATTGAAACAGTCAAAATGTCAAATGAGGCATTTCAATAATAGTGATGTTAGGAGCTTTACGTTTTTATTTCCTTCCCTCTCTCCTTTGTATCATGCCTTCAAGACATGAGGACCTAAGTCTGCTTTTACAGAAACCCTCTTAAAGAGGGGCTTCAGGGGGATGGGGCAAGGACTGAAGCTGTTTTAATCCCCTCCAATTCCAACATTATTGTGTTTCAGCAAATATTTTGCAAAAGGATTTTCAGGCTGAACTTCAAACAGGCAAATTCCTCACTCCAGTGACTCGGGTAGCTTTGCAAATTTAGAAAAGAAAATGAAGATTGTTTTAGCTGACATTTAAACCTCTTCTCTTTTCCCAGCCTGTCAGGAAGCTTCATACACTTTGGGTCAGACGCTCTTTCCCTGAAGAAGAAAAGGATATTTATAGCTGGGTAGAACCTTAAAGGGGAAATCTCTAGGCTGCAGTACCTGTCAGATGGAGTTACACATTGCCCCAATAGGAACAGTCAACCTGGAACCCACTAGATGGAAGAAAAAAGGTGATGGTCCAGCCCTGGGCCACACAGGAGGCTCTAGCCCAGGTAATTTGGCCAAATTCCAGGAGGGTGAAAGTAGGCTTGGCTGGAGTGTGGTATTTTTTGGGTTTTCTTTATGGCTCATTGTGTTTTGTTGCCCTTCTGAATCTTGGAGGGTGTTGACGCACAGACATTAAAATGCGGTTTGGATCATTCCTGCTCCTTGGGGAGGTAGGAAAGGGATTGGTGAGAGAGGCAAGCCCAAAGAAAGCCAGTTTGTCACACAGAGAGGCTGTGCCTGGCTTGCCCTGGTTGGTTAGGAGCTCCTGAGGGGCTGATGGAGCACCTGGCCGCAGGTCTTGGTTCCTCCTTGCTCCTTCAGGCAGGGCTGGATCCAGGCTGGCAGTGCCAGGCACTGAGCAGCTGTCTGGGCTGTGCGTGGAGCAATTTACTCCCAGGGATTAGAGTGATTGGGGTTTCTTAAGGTAAAGACAGCTTGCAAAGAAAAGCAGCATGTCTGGGGACAGCAGAGCTCTGCCACAACCTGCTCTTACCCACAGCTTGTTCTGCACAAGGAGTTTCTGTTGGCAGAAGTGGTCAGGAAGGAGGGGAGCTCACCCTTTGGGGCTGGGGAGTGGGGCTGGGGTTGTCTTCTGCAGCCGATGGGGCTGCACAGGAGGTTTTGGCATCAGCTTTTCTGCAGCCTGAGCCCTGGGGCTTGCTCTGAGGTCCCAGGTACGACACCGAGGGAATTTTGGTGTAGCCCAAGGTAGCTGGAATCTGGGTGAAGGTTGGTGTCAGGCTAATGTGGCTCTGTGTGGTATTGGCTATTGGGCTATAGTGTGGGAATCTCTGGTAAGCTTCAACTAGACCTGGGAGCATCTCCCACAGTGTAGGTCCAAGTGTTCTCCTTTTGGCCAGCATGGGCTGGGTGTTCTGTGCACTCTTGTATTTTCCCATATCTCCCTAGATTTTAAGGGGAGGAAATTCAAGTGCAATATCTGGAGAGGGAACCGTGATGTGTTCTGGCCAAGAATCCTGATTTAGCCATAAGTGTGTGGTGGCCCACTCTCTGTGCAATGGGCATGTAGGTACCACCCAGCGCTGTGTGGGGTGCTGCAGGCAGGCTTTCCTTGTAGGAAAACCAGCTGGGCTGAAGGAATAACAAAACCCCTGTTACATCTCCCTCATGGAGATGAGACCCAGAGGGATCTTCTCTGGTGACTCTCAGCTGGTGCTGCCCCTCTGGGCTCTGCAGGATTGGGAGAGCCCAGGGCACTGTGCAGGGTGTCGTGTTTGCTCTGGCCACACTTGGTTCTGCTTCCATGCTCCTTCAGATGCCAGCCCCAGCAGGGCAGTCCTGGAGCTGAGCTGCCCATGCTTTCATGATCCCATAAAGAAAAGGAACAAATCTCTTACACACGGAGCTCTCCAACGGGGTTTTCCCACCTTCTGCCCACCCTGGTGGATGTTAACAAGCTAGTAGATCTAGACCTGCTGTGCCTTGATAGAAAGATTTATTTTTAGGGCCTTGATATTTAAAATGATCTGTTATAATTTCATGCTTAAATAACACTAAATAATGTTCCCTGTTTGCACAGTGTAATTGGAAGAGGCGAATAAACCAAACAAACCAGCTATGACTGAGCTTCCTTAGTATTTTCAGACTGAAACAAACAGCAAAAAACAAGGGCTTAGCCAATTTAACACTTTGGGGGTATTTTCTAGTTGGCATTTCACTTTTTCATTTTCACAGGCCAAGAAACATGAGAGTTCTAAAGAGCCAGTGGCTTCTTGCCAAAGAAAACTCAGTTGATCTTAGATTGCAAAAAAAAAAAAAAAAGGAAAAAAATCAGAAGTAAACTTATTGTTTTTTTTTTAGGAACTGGCAGGGCTAATGACTCTGCAAGTGCCATGGGATTTTATGCAAGTGCAGAAAAGACTTAGAAAATATTCAGCAAGTTCATTTAGGCTCCTTTCATGCTTCTCAAATCCTGAGGCTTCTTTATTGCTTCTTTATGTCAATTTGGCACTGCTTGATTTCGCTGCCGCCCTCAATGTTATATTGCAATGGCATTGCTGTGCTCCATGTGGAGCAGGTCCTGCTCTGATCACATCCCATGTAACCTGCCTGGGCTTTTAGGGGATTGAATTAAAACTCCAGCCTTTGGTTGACCCTTTTTGGGGATAGGGAGTTCAGGCCAAGCTGCCATTCCCTGTGTGAAAAGCCCTCGGTGTCATTATTTAGGCAAAGAGATTTTGTGATTAGTCATGAATAGGTTGTGCTCCCTTCTGGAAAACTGCCATTGGAGAGGGAATATAGCCTGGGCTGATGAAGCTTCTGCACATCAGCTCATTGCTGTGTCTTTCTCTGGCAGGATCCCTCTCTGCCAGTGTTCAAGAAGTGTTAGGACAACATTCTTAGGGCAGGGCCAGGATCTGGACATGGTGGTCCTTGTGGGTCACTATGATTTTAGGATTCTCCTGTTAGAAGGGTGTGAGTAAGTTTTCCCTGTGTCCCTGTGCTGAGATGCCCCATGGAGCAACCTCCTGCAGGCTCAGGCTGTGGCAGTGATGACACGGACACACCTGATGAGTGCTGCATCCTCCTCTTGGTTCTTCCCTTTCCTTGCAGTGCCCTGTCCTCCCTCTGCCCCGCCTATCCTGGGGTGAGCAGGCTTCCCCCAGTGCCTCCCCTCCTTCCTGGCTGGTGAAATCCTTCTCCCTCCTCCCCTCCCTGTGCTCCACACAAGCCTCAGCTCTGTTTGTGCCCACATTAGCATTTCTGCTGACTGCAAGGATCGGTTTAATTTCATGGGTGTCATTTCCTTCAAGAAATCTCTCTCTGAGCAGCAGCCCGACGAATGCCTGATAAAACATATTTTCCTACGGTAATGATTTTATGGACCCATAAGTCATGAATTTATTATGATCTCAGCCCCTGCTGCTGATTGCTGTAAAATGCAAAGTAATTAACAGCGAGCGGTAGCAGCTATTCCCACCTGGTAGCGTGTTCTTGGGCACGCTGATGGCTTTGATTAAAGTAATGGCTAAAGTGTACAGCCTGGCTGTAAAATATTAGCATGATTAATGCACTATCCTAAATAAGAAACAAAACTAATGGGCATGGTTTAAGGAATTAAATATATATATGTATATATACATATATATACACTCATTCCTCTCCCACCCTCTAGCTATTGTTCTGGCTCATTTGTGCTTTCTTTTCTGTTAAATAATGTATGGGCTGGAGGACCGGGGGCCAGGCTACAGATGCATATTGCAGTTTCATAACATCTTAAGTGCTTGTGTTAATTTTTCACTCCTTCCTCCTCTTTCCCCTCAACTTGCCATCTCCCATCGCGTAGGGGGAGAAAGATAATCGAGTTTCCTGAACTTGGCCTGAAGTCAGATGTGATTTGATTTGGATTGCAGACAGCCTGGAGAAGTGCCTCCGAGGCCACTTGGAGAGTTGGACGTGGTTTGTGGCCTCTCAGAAGAGAAACTCCGGTGCTGTGTTCACATTCCCGTGGCTGGGGGTGATCTCTGAGCCATCTCAACAGCCGGCAGCCCAGAAGTTTCTCACACATGAAGAATAACCACATCTGTCCAAAAAGCTGCAGTGCTTCTGCTGGGAAAAGAATGCTTCTGATTTTCTTTTTCTGAACAGCCTAAAAAAGTCAATGACTGGATTTTAGTGGAAAATAAGACCCAAGTCAGATTTCTCCCTGCCACCCTTCCCAAAACTGTGATGAATTTGGTTTCTGGCATTTTCCAATGGGAAATTTTCCAATCAGAAATTACTTTGGCTCGGGTGTGAGACAAGGAAATACACTTTTTTTAAAAACCAGCACCTGGAAAATTTTATTTGGAAATGGAGAAAAGATCTGATTGGGGAAAAAAAAAAGAAGAAGAAAAAAAGGCTTTCTGACCCATGCATTTTGATCAGCTCTTCTCTTCCTGTTTCTAAAGATGTGTACACCAATGTCATCTAATTCCCTCTGATCAGCCTCTACCTTTTCAGGTCTATTGATCTGTTCTAGTTTATGAAGCTCCCAACTATTGGAAAGAAGAGCTTATAAATAACTACAGAGAAATGGGATTCTGTATCACAGAAGTTCCAGCTGTGCTGCTTTTGTTTATCACACTACACACATTTTTTGGAACTTTTCTTAACCAGGAGGTTGCAAAAGGAAGCTCAGCATGCCAATGTCCCCGAGAACTGTTGTGTTGTATTGTACTGTGCAAACGGTGTTTTCTCCCTCTTGGGATGGAAAGGTTTCTGGGTTTGTTTTTGTAGATAAGATATAAACTCAGTAGTGGTTCTGCTAGTAAATACAAGTAGCCTCAAGCTCTGGTATGTGTCTTGTTGGTCCCTCCAGTAATTTGACAAAGTACCCTTCCAACAAGCTCCTGAAAAGTACAATATGAACAATTTTGTTGATCCCTCAGTATCTGGAATAGTAGGAAGGGACACTTTGCCAGCATTGGTGTGGGGTTTGGCTGTCTCACCCATGTTCAGTGCTGGCCCATCTCAGGAATCAGATGTGTTACCAGGAGGGTGAGGAAAGTTCTCTCTCTAAAACTGCCACTTCTGGAATTTTGGCTACCTTTTGTGGGGAAAGGGGTAGGAAGCCTCAAAGAGGTAAAGCCTGTAATTTACAGTACAGGGGAGCTTCCACACAAGGAGAGATTGATCAAACTGAGATGTGTTGTTTGACTAGAGAGGCAGCTGGGAGAGGGGGATGATCAAGCCAAGCACAGTCCAGACAGGAGTAGGATGGTTTGCTGTATCTTGTGATGTGGGTTACCCAGTGAACTCATTAAGCAAAAAGTTTAAAGAAAATGAAGGTAAGTCCATTCTCCTGACATGCATAATTACATATATATTCCATCATCACCTGCTGCTGTGGAGTCCAAAAGAGGAGGATGAATAGATGTGAGGCAGCACTAGATCATCACGGAAGGCAGATCCCTGAGGATGTGGAATGTAATCAAAGGGTTTGCAGCAAGAAGAGAATCACAGATATCCTCATTTGCTTTCCCCCTCTCCCTCTTGGGAAGGCTGTGGCCATTTCTTATGCCTGCTTTGGCTTCTTGTCTGGTCTCAGAGGCTGAGTGCTGGAGGGTGTGGTTGGACTGACAGCACTTCCCTTCCTCAGGAATGGACGTCCCCAGTGTTCTCCCACCAGGTGAGACCCTGTGTGCTGGATGAGGAAGCACGGGGCAGGTGGTGAAGGAAGGGCAATGAGGCTGGAGCACATCATGATTCCCACCAGGACCATCAGGCCTGGGGCGTGTGGAGGACACCACAGGCCCGTGGGGCTGAGGCAGTGGCCTTGAGAGGTAAGAGCCAGGTGTGTGGATCTCATGGCAGCCCTGAGCTGTGACAGTGCCAAAGCAAACCCTGTGAGGGTGCTGTGTGGTGCCTGGGCCAGGGGAGGCTGAGCCTTTTCATCCGGCTGCCGCAGTCAGGCTGCAGGGTCATATTTGGAAGGCTTTCTCAGCAGTGCACACATGTTAATGATGTTTGAGGAGTAGTTTCTGTGGGAGACCTGGGAGCCAGGCAGCTCTGCAAATCAGCCCATTAGTATTTTTAAAAGAAAACCTCCATCCTATAGGAGCTGCTTTGGCCTCTGGAGACGTGCCAGAACTGTATCCCAGACTGCACCGCATCTGCTTCTATTAGATCTTTCCCTCTCTCCTTTTATCCACCCCTTTTCCTTCCCTCCTGCCTAGAGCTTTCTCTTGCTTTTCTATCCAAAACACACTTGAGCTGTTCCTTTGGAAGTTTGCACAAGGATAGGTTGGCGTTTACTTTTCCCCCTGCCGTCTCCTTTCTCCTTTTGGAGCTAATCACCCTGGCGAAATTGAGCTGTAATTCAGTTGGCAGTGGTCAGATTGAGCTGAACATGTGTGCTCCAGCACATCCCCAGATTCTTGCATCAACAAAAATGAGCACAGACAGGCACAAAGCAAAGGAGAGGTGGCGTGGCCTTGTTTAAAACACACTCGTGCAGCAGCGTCAGCCACCTGAACAAAAGCTGCCTGTCTGCTTTTGGGAGGTGGGTGAAAGCAGAGGTTATTTGGCTTGATGTGCACAGCAAGGAGGGGAGATGGTGCTTCCCCCCTCCTCCCCCTGCCATCTGCAGCCTGGTGGCAGGTAGAGGAGGCTGCTTTGGTGGGGAGGATTTGTTGCTGCCGTGAGTCAGTCAGTGTGTCAGGGTAAATCAAGCCTGACGTTTTTAACATCTTCCCCACACAAAGAGGGGGGCAGGGGGAACGGAGGAAGCAATTGTAATTTTATGTCTATATCCTGCTCGACTAATCAAGGTGAGCAAGAGATTTGCCAGCCAGAGTTTTTCCTCTTGTTAGCTTCATTTCTCTGCTTTGCCTTTCTCCTTCCTTTCCTGGACTTCTGTAGCAATCTCCTTTGTAGGGAAAGAAGGATCCATCTGATCAATGCTAGAAGCTTGGAGACAAATGCCTCTTGCTCCTCCAGACTGTCTCTTGTAGCAGGTCTCTAATTAGGTAAGTGAAAACTCATGGAAAAACACATTTTGGCAGAGGTTTGACTACCTTTGACCCTGTGTCCTGCCTCCTCACTCCTGTTCAGACCCTAAACATACTGTTAGCCCTGATGGCAGTGCTGTGGTGCACCACATCCTCTCCTGCCCCTCTCAGGAGCACCTGGTTCAGGTTGGACAGGCCTACAGGTGAGCTATGGAAAGAAAGAATATCTGCATCATGAGAGGAAGGTAATTCCAGGAGATTTCCATCAGCAGCCTGGCTTTAGAGTTGTGCTTGGTATGCCTCTTGTCTTGCCTCAGGCACGTGCTGCTGCAAAGCCTCCCTGTGCCTGTTTCCTTGCTGCCAGCACAGGCTGCCTGCTCTAGTCCCAGGTGGGCTAATTCCCTCTGGAGAGCAAGGAGAGGAGGGGAGGCAGAGTAAATTCATAGATAGGTGCCACCCTTCCATTGCCACAGCCCAGAGTAGGGGTGTAACACATGAGGTGCATCCGGGTGTGAATACTGGGACTAACAGGATGCTCTTCCTTGTGCTGGGAGCCCTGATCCATGGGATACCTGGTGGCAGTGAGAAGGCTTGTGCTCCAGGGAACAGCCTGGCAGCTTCAGGGCTATCTTCCAGCCCATGGGCATGGGTTGTCCTGAAGGTAGAGAGGTGGATCCTCATGGCCTGCACTGGAGCTGCTGAGCAGCATTAACTCTGGCCTCTCTCTGCTGTTCTACCCAAGCAATCAACAACAGATTTTTGACTTTTGAGCCAAAGCTGACAATCTCAAATCTGACTTGCCCAGTTCCCTTTTGTGCTGCCCAACTTAATGCAGATGGAATGTATTAAATTGGTAAAAAAGCCCCAAAGCTGCACGCTGTGTCCGTGTGCTGGCAGGGCAGGGCAGCATCATTAAAATTCCTGGTGTGCACAGAAGTGGACTAAGTCATCAGCACAGGGCAGGGAGCCTCCGAGTCCTGAGTGCTCGTGCTGATTTACACCAGCTGGGGAACTGGGCCAAATCTGTCTCGTTCAATGAATGATCATTCAATTTTTCTCTCTGCTATCAAGCCCTTAAACAAAAGCCAATTGAAATCAATGGGAGACTTTCATCATTTTCAGGGTTATAGGCCTAAAAAATTGGATGCTTGGGGAAAAAGCAGGCAGGGGAAGAGAAAGGGAAGAAGGAATAAATGCTGCTGTAACATTATGGCTTACAACAGAAACAGATGGAAGTGAGAAATGCTTTAGTTACGATTCTCTGGCAGCAACAATTCAGCAAAGCTGTACATGGAGATGTGTACATTGAAGAGCATCCTTCCTTATGCAGACTGCTCTGTGGGTGCAAAGGGAGCCTGTCCCTCTGTGAATCCCATCTCTGCGTGTCCTATTTCTATATGTGATTAAGTTCTCCACTCTTCCATTGCAGTTAAAGTTATTATTAGTGGTAAGCACATGCTCCACAGCTGGCTGTTCCACACAGAAATGCAGGAAGAAGTGCTGCCTTCTGCTCCCAGAAACCAGCAGTTTTTTTTTTTTCTTTTTTTACTTTTTTTTTTTTGCAGTAGCTGGAAGAGGGGGAGGTTAATATCTCATCCAGCCTCTGGCTGTATTTTGATAAAATCCTTTGTCCAATGACTGCAAAGCATTTTGCACATACAGCAGGATAAATCCCCTTCAGACAGGTATTATCTGGCCTATTTTTACAGCTGAGAATTTGCAGCCTTCGGAGCCATCCGAAGGCGCTGCCTGCACCTTGTGATCTCCCCGGCTGAGTGAATGTGTCAGGATGGGTGCTTCAAACCCAGCCCCAGTTCCAACACAGCCCTCCAGAGTGCCTGGGTACCTTAGATCCTTCCTCCTCAGCCTCCCCATCCCTATCACAGGTATGACAATCATCCCTTCCCCTGGGTAAACATTTCATTATGCGCTGCTGCCGAAGCACCTCGGAGGGGAGAAGACCTACAGATAAGTCTGCATTCTCATTTTGGCTGTATTTGTGTGCCTGTTTTCTGCTTTAACTGCTCTTCCCTTTCTTTGCCTGCTCATTAGTTCTGCCTGAGTGCAGGACCTCTCCAAAAAATGCAGTGTTGGCAGTGGGCATGAATTCTTAACGACTCCTGTCTCTAATGACAGAATCCAGGGCCAGGCAGGCAGTTTGCTTGCTGGGAGAGGGAGAGGCAGATGAGACTGTGGCTCTTCCCCTTGTCACGGGGGTGAGTTTGCAAATTCACGGGAGGATCTGCAAAATATGCTCAGGTCTTGGACTGCTTCTCATGCTGCAAGGAGAATTGCTTGAGATGGCAGATGGAAAGAGATGCCTCTCGGGCTGTGGAAGGTGTTGGGTTTGTTTTTAAAGCTCACTCTGGCCTCTCTCTGCTGTTCTATCCAAGCAATCAACAACAAGATTTTGACTTTTGAGCCAAAGCTGAAAATCTTGAGTCTGACTTGCCCAGTGCCCTTTTGTGCTGCCCACAACTTGATGCAGATGGAATGTATTAAATTGGTAAAAAAGCTCAAACAAAACAATACAACAATCAATTCACAGGAAAAAAACAACTGCCAAGGGTTCAATTTTACTGAACAGGAGAAGGACTTTTAATAATAGAGAGATTAAAACTTATTTTTAGCAGTGTTTTTGTTGTCTTCCATTGTTATTCTGTCCTTGATGAAAAGTTTCCTTCACTTTTTTTGCAGATGCAGCTTTTAACGTGAGTTTGCTTTTCTTTCACAGGCCATTTTATTTTGTTTAAAGAAGAAGGAATTCTTCACAAGTTAGAAGAGGTGATAAGGGAAAGACAGGTGAATCCTGCATGGGTGCCATTCTTTCTGTTTCATTTAATGCCAGGAATAAGAAGGAAAAAACCCATTAAAATCCTTTGATTTTTTATTTTTAAAAGCCAAACCAAGGAAAATTACAATTTTTCATACTGGTGATGAAATCCTAGATTTTTAGTTTGGTGGATTTGTGCTGAAACATCATTTGGTGGAATCGGTCTGTTTCTGATGAAATCTCAGTAGGCACTGAGAAAATTTCAAGTTGATTGTGGGATGACCAATCCCTCTTGAGGTTCTGGTTATTTCTTTTGATTTGTCCTGGTCTCTCCTTCCCACTTCCATCCTTGCTGATGCATTTTCCCACTCCTATTCCTGTTGCACTGAAATTGCCAGCACCAAGACCATTAAAATGCCCACAAGGCGTTTCCATCCTGGATGGACTAGTTGGGTTAAGATCTTTGTGAATCCCAGAGATGTATTTTATACTGAGGTGCCTTCATTTCACACACTGTTGATGGAAAACTTTTCATTTTTATGCTCAGAGTACTTCACTTCTCCTATAAGGAAAGGCAGATTCTGGCACAGGGATATTCCATGTGGCCTGTGGAGGTTGGCCAGGCAGGCTGGATCTCTACCTGGATTGAATGCAGAGTTAATTCTGGCTTTGCAAAAACTGAAGTTCAGCCTTTTTTTTGCTGGTTTATTGTTCCTCAGTACCTCATACCTGTTAAATAAATAAGTAAATAAATAAAAACGGCAGGATTCATTTGGGGAATCTTCAGAACCATAGGTAATCCTTTGATTTGGAGGAAAGAGAAAGTTGGGAAGTATCTTGTCCAGGGATTCTCCTTCCTCCCCCAGCCCCATCTGTGTCCGTGGGCCCAGGCAATGAGCTGGGGTTCACCCAGTTCTGACAGATGAGTGCATGCTGAAACACCAGTGTCTTGCACCTCTGGCAGTGCTCTTGGCAGAGTAATCTGAAAACCAAAGGCTCTCTGGAGCTCTCCTCAGAGCTCTGTGAAAGCTTCTTCTGCATGAAGCCTCTGCCATGGCTTTGGAGATGAGACCTGGCCATCTCAAGAGCAGAGTGTTCTGCAGGAATGTGGAGCCAACACCTTTTGTGGCAGCCTGATTTTCTCTCCCTTGAAATATCCAAAATCCATTTGTAATGAGGTCTTTGGGACTCTCTTCTCCATGTGTTGCTGGCAGGAAGTTCCACCTTCTGTGTGTGCCTCCATCCCCTCCAGCAGGCGTGTTGATTCCACATTGCTCTTGTTCTCGAGGGCAGGTTTTGAAATCCTGTCGTAATTATTCACAAGCTTTGATTGGAGCCCACGCTCAGAAACACTATTTGCATCCAGGGAGGATCTAATTATAATTGCTGCAGAGAAGTTTGTTTGAGGCTGATTCTGTGTCAGCTTGAGATTTCTTGATGATGCTCTTTGGGCATGAGAACTGTGCAGGCTCAAGGTCCAGAGAAGGGCAGTGGAAGGGACTTGGGGTGTCAGGCTTGGGCATGGAAATTGGTTTTTCTTCATAGAAGATGGCTATGGAAGGAATGCTGAGCTGAAGAAAGAGCAGAGCAGTAGAAACTGGTCTGACTGGTCTTTGGGGCACCACTGTCTTCTCCACCCTAAAGACTTGAGGAGGCAGCCTGTTTTCTTCAGGGTGGTTGATTTGAATTACCCATTTTAATCATGATTTAAATCAACAAGCAGGAAATCTTGATTTTAAAACCACGTTTTAATCTTGTATTTTAAAGTTCATTTCCTAATGAAACGTGGTTTTTCATTGGTTGGCATAATTTGGAACTATTTTTGGCGAAGTAAAAGAGGATGCGACACCCATACATATTTATTGGTGTGACTGTATAGCTCAATAAATATCTGTTCTAACTTTTACATCTTTTTATTACATTGAAGGAATGGAAAGCATGTAATTTCTGATATAATAGCCGTGGCTTTGTTTTTTACACTTGTCTCAAGCTATATGAGGACAAAAATTAAAATGCAATTAAAAATGCATGAAGAAAGCAGTTAAAAAGTTTGTTGTTGGTATCGCAGAGGGCTGGAACAAACCTCTGCAGATAATCTACTCCATGTGTTGCCACTGAGGCAAGATCAATTACACCTTTCCCCTCCACACAGGTGTTTGTTTAACCTTTCCATAGAAGTCTCCAGTGAAAAATTCTGCAACTTCCCTGTGTCTGTTCTAGGTAGAAACTTTTAAATCTTTTTTTTTTAGATGTCTAAACTTAAGCTTTCTTTGCTCCAAGTTAAATTATTTCTTCTTCTGTCACTGAACACAGAGAACAATCGACTGCTGTCTTAATAACCTGCAAGCTACTGGAAGATTGTTATGCCTCTGTGCCTTAGTCTTCTCCTTCTTTTTTCCTAGGTTGAATGAACCTAGTTCGTTTAACCTTTCCTTGCCAGCTCTTCCTAAAGCTGTGACGGTTTAATTTCTTCTCCTCCAGACTGCCCCCTGCTTTTTCATCTCTTTCTGCATCTGCAGTGAAATTACTTTGGGGGTGCTTCAGGAGGAGAAATTGCTTGCCATGCCATGTAGGCAAACTGTGGAACTCATTGCTGTGGGATACTGTGGAGGCTAAAGATTAAATAGGTTTGGGAAGGGTTTAAACAAAGTAATGAAAGCTGTTCCTGAGCTGTGCGTTGCTGGAAGGCCTTGGGAGATTGGGATAAACAAAGGGTGAAATGCTATGCTCTGTCTTAAGGTTTCATTGCTGGCTTTGGGAAGCTACCAACCCTGCCAGGGGTCATATTGCCATGCACTGCCCTGCATCCATGCCCTTGTGATGTACTGGGAGCTTGTCCCACTGCTGTGTTTCAGGGAAGGGCTGCAATGTGTCCATGTCTTCCCCCAGAGCCTGTCTTTCCAGCCTTTCCAGCAGCTGCCTTCCAACTCACTGGAAAAACAGAGTCCAGCTCTGACTCGAGCATGTTGGGAATCAGAGCCTCAGAAAGCCTGGATGGCAGCGGGGGGCGTATGAATTTCCTGGGATTTGAATGTTAACCAGATGCTGTTTGGGTGATGCTCTGTTCCTCTGGCAAGCAGGATTGTGGGGTGGTGCTGGTGACTTTGTGGGGCACCAGGGTGGTTAATGACCCCCAGCCAGGCTGCACCAGTCTGTAAACAGCCGCCAGGAAGCAGAAATCTCTCTCTTCTCCAGAACCACTGCATTCGACAGCTCCCCTTTCATCTGCTCAGAAAGTGCTGAAGTGTTTCTAGCTCCTCTTCAAAAGCAATTCTGCACTGCCCAGAGGGGGCTGTAATTCACATGGGGAGCCAGGAAAAAATGATACTCCCCATCTCAGCAGATGAGCATGTAAATTCTGACTTCAGCTCCTCAGTGAGATTTAAATGTGAGGGTGGGAATGTGGTGACAAGGACTCTGAGGGTCACCAGAAGGATAAAGGTACACCAGGAAACCATTATTTCTGGAAAGGCAGGGTTTGAGGGTAGCAATGCTTAGCCCTGGAGCATCTTCAGGGGTGTTTAGAAAGGTAATGGGAGTCTGACTTTCCTGTTTGCCAAGCCTCATGCTGCTCTGTGGTTTTTGCAAGAATACCCTGTTATTGAAGGTCTTTATAGAGCAGTCCCTCTTTGTTCCCATCTGCTCTTGGGCTTCCAAATCCCATTTTCCTTTTCAGTTCCCCTTATGGAGGTGAGCACTTTCTCAAAAGACCCTGCCTGATTTTAACTCTGCTGAGGCCACTGGAGCACAGCAAGGATTGGGTAGATTCACCATTCCTTGGGGGAAGAAAGAGGCCAATTCAACATTTAAAGGGAAAGTGGGGATGTGGCTTTTGGCGGGCTGGGGATCACAGAATCCTAGGATATTTTGGGTTGCAAGGCACTTAGAGATCATGTGAGGCTGTGTGGAGGTGGAATTAGGCACAAGCGAAACAGTGCTGATCATGTTTCCCTCACCATGGTGGGGAGGCAGAGGGGACACTGGGATGGGCAAAGTGAAAAGCTGCTCATCATCTCCCCGGTGATGGTCCCAAAAGGAGGGTGGATGTGTCTGAAAGAGACTCATGGCAGTTATTGCATCTCTTGCACCTCCTGAAAAACATTTGCACCAAGAGATGTCTTTGTTTTAAGAAATAATAAAGCTGGGCAGCTTGCAAGCCGCGTGCTTGCCTTCTCCCTGGTGTTCCCATGCTTGGCAGTGCCTTTGCTTTTGCAGAAGAAGTGTGGGTTTGTTTTTTTAACTCCTGCTGCTCTGGGAAAGAGAGCAGCCAGAGAATGAACAGTTTGGGATTTTGCAGGTAGGCAGGGGGTGGACACCAGTCCTCTTTAATCTTGGGTGCTGAAGGTGATCAGAGCTTTTTATACAGACCTTTATCTGTTGGCAACTTAATTAACTAATGGTCCCAGAAAGCTCTTACAGAACAATTGATTGCATTCACTTCAATATCGTTATCTCTGTCCTATTGGCACCCAGGCAGTTGTGCAGACATTTTTGGGTGCTGAAAGCTGGTCATGGCTTCCTTTCCCAACCCTGTTTTTTTTTTTTTAGCCATAGGTTTTTGGATTAGAGATTTAGCTTCAGAGAGAATTAAATCCTCTCTGTCTGTGGCTGTGTGGGGAGCACGTGGCTGCAGCTGTAACAGCCTTAGAGTGTGAATGGCACAGGGCAGAGGAAACATGATCAGCATTGTTTCATTGCTGCCTTGCCTCGCTGTCTGTGCTCTCCCCCTGACCCAGGACACACGTGAGAGCAATACAAGATATCCAGCCCCTCAGCACGTTGTGGCTTGTCTCTGCCTCTGGCCTCAACCCAGGTCTTCTGGTTACCAGCTCTTGCAATTTTGCTGGTAGCCCTCCTGGTGATACATGTCACGTTGAACTCCCGTGTCGTGGGTGCATGTGACAGAGAGAATCACAGCCCGTATTTTAATAAAGCTTAATTCCTCTGCCTCCATAAGAAATATCTATGTAAGAAGACACAGCTGAGCCCTCGGGTCTGGATATGAGAAGGTAGAGGGAAGATCTCCCCT